ATTCTGTGATTCTGTGATTCTGTAATTTAAAAAAGAAAGATATAGCTCTCATTTATCAAAAAGTGGGAACGTCTTTGTCAGGTGAGAAAAGACATGGGCTTTAAGTACTTGTAGTAGGAATGGAAACCAGGCAAAAAGGGCAAACAGGTAGCTTTTCCTCTGACTCTCTCCGATTAAAAATCAGGGGTGATAAAGAGGAGCCTCCTTTCCTTCTTCTGAACCACCCAGAAAGGCAAGGCAATTTTTCAAAACCAGTGTACTAAAAGGTGCCTGGTATTTCTTATCTTCCCCATCTAAATGTAGAGAACAAACTGTTTAGCCTATATCATTTCCAAAGCTGTGCTTCAGAACTCGGCGGGAATCACGGACCTTGAGAAAAACATCAGTAGAAGAGGGGTAGTAAACCACTTTCTCAAACCATGAAATGCTTCACATGATGTTCAGTCTCAGGGAATAGTCAGAGTTTTACTGTTAATTTAACTGTAAATAACCTCAATCCAATTCATACAGATGCGGAGCAGTACAAATATGGCAAGAATCGTGTAGAAGCAGATGCAAAGAAGTTACAAAGCAAAGAGGAGGAGCTGCTGAAGAGGAAAGAAACGCTCCGGAACAGGCTGGCTCAGCTCCGAAAAGAAAGAAAAGATCTACGTGCTGCCATTGAAGTCAATGCTGGTATGAGGTGCTTTTTTGTGCTGAATTCTGCCCTGGGTAGGCTTAATGATCCAAATAGCTTTGTATTCTATGCTGAAGATGTGCCACTAGTTGATGTTTGGTTTTGATGTTAAACAATATTCTGTAATGTCTATATTTGCTTTCTATATAGACATAAAATATATTTTTTATATATAGGTGTATGTATATACACACACCCCCTTACCTATGAAATGACACTGATGGAGACTTCAGACAAGCAGAACATGGGAATAATTTTATTGTGACTGGCTAATTATATTTTCATGTTATGGAAGAGTAACAAAAGAGATGATACTGATTTGAAACTAGACTAGAATCCTAGGGAAGGCACTTGAAAGAAAGCATTTGATTTCTGTTGCTAAACTTGTTACATGAAAAAAGTGGTTTTTGCAAAGTATGTAACTTTTTTGTGATGTTGCTGATTTTTAGAGATGTTGTTCCTTACTTTTTTTGAAAAGAAAATAATTTCTTTAAGTATCAGTTTAAGTTTCTTACTGAAATAATGACATTGCTGTGGATGACAGGCAGGAAGACCCAAGTGATTCTTGAAGACAAGTTAAAGAAGTTGGAAGAGGAATGTAAGCAGAAGGAGGCTGAGCGTGTAAACCTGGAGCTAGAACTGACTGAGGTGAAGGAGAGTCTTAAGAAAGCCTTGGCTGGTGGCATCACACTGGGCTTGGCTATTGAGCCCAAGTCAGGAACATCAAGCCCCCAGGTATGCAAAGCCATCAAACACACAAATCCCAGTACCTGAGGCTGGAAGCCCTCTGCCTTCTCAGCTCCAGTAAAATGAGTGGGAACTGAGTGTTTTCAAAAGGTTTATTAAGCCCAGGAAATAAGAGCAGAAGTAGATGCCTTTCTGCATTATTTGCATTCTTTACCTACACCTGGTGTACTTTATACAGCAGTGGGGAGCGGATAGACATGGAAATCACAAGCAGTATGTGTTAGGATAATGTGCAAAAGCTGACACCTTATTGTCCTCAATAATTGTGAAAGTGCACAAACTGAGACATTGCTCCATCTCAGGAAGATTTAAATGCACCAAAATCAGCATACAGTGACTGACACCTACTTGTCTCGGTCCCCTACCAGTAACTGTCACCCTTTACAAAGGCTGCACCTCATGCTTTCATGATGGAGTATGGTAGTCCTGGCTTGTGCTACGGATCTGTATCAAAAGCAGCTATCAGAAGGATCAGAGAGGGATGTGTCAGTTCCTCCAGATGACCCAGTGTTGTTTAATCCCAGAAAACAAACTTGAATTTTCACCACAGAACACACACTTTTTTTTTCCTTTGTTCTAACCTCCTTTTCATTTATCTATCATTATTATGAATATGTTTTCTTTTTAAAAAAAATATAATCTGCACTTCTTAGTCTGGATAGAAAATATTGCTCATGTGACTATTTGGAGGAAACTCAGTGTAAGGTTTTCACTCTTTATTAGTCTCCAATTTTCAAGCATCGAACATTGGAAAACTCTCCGATCTCCAGTTGTGATACCAGTGATACCGAATGCTCAATACCTGTGAACAGTGCAGCAGCTCTGAAGCGACCTCCCTCGTCAAATAATTCTCCATGTCGAGGTCATGTCCTTCGAAAAGCAAAGGTGAGGCAACTTATGTCTAATTTTCTTTGTCTGTCCTTTTTCTTACTTCTAAAAAAAATCTTACTTGCTTGTGACAAGACAGAGCCAGAGAAGGAGAGAGGGAAAAGTTGGTTACTGCTGCTTCAGTGGGTAAAATGTAGCTTTAAGAAGAGAATGTGCCATTTCTAAATTATCTTTATTAATACATAAATACTGCTGATTTTGAGGAACCAATTGCAGAAGAATTGGTAAGTAGTTTGGGAGACAGATGTGACTTTCTCAATCACTATTTTTCTCTGTTCCTTTATAGATTGAATTTGCAAGGTAAGTGGTTAGTGGTGGAGACAGGCCATCCAAAATTCATAAAGTTACACTAATCTGTGTAGCAGAGAAGTGGTTATAATTACCTGTCACAGTATACACTATATGCACTGTTATAGTAACTGTTCTGAAACAACACCAGATCAGGTCTGATCTTTACCAGCTGGTGCAAGAAAATCATAGTTCTACATTTTAATAATTGAAAATGTGTTGTGCAAGTGTCTGCACTTAATGTACATTTAAATTGAGTTAATTTAATTTTGTTTCACAAGTACCAGGCTGAAGATTGCAGTCCTTTGTTAGAGTTTTCTAAATTTTGTGCTTTAGTTTAAGTGAGATTTTTATGACCATTCTTTCAGGCTAAATTTGCTAGCAACATAAGCATGTGGGCAGCATGTAACTGAAGGTGACAGTAATAACATTGGCCCAAGCTTTTGTTGATTAAGTAGTTCACTGCTAATTGTAGTTATAAACAATAATAATCATAGACATTTGTCTTTCATGCAGTGCATTTATTTTTTCAAAACAATTAAGTGTTCTGTATAGGGATTTTCTTTTAAGTAACTTTTGTTATGTTGTTTTCATTGCTTTCATACATTTACAATGACTGAGCATAAGCCCAGCACCTAAGTTTAGTAGATACTGAAAAATCATAATCTCAGCAAATGATTTGGCTTTTTGGCACATCCTAATCATAGAATCATAGAATCATAGAACGGTTTGGGTTGGAAAGGACCTTAAAGATCATCCAATTCCAACCCCTCTGCCATCAGCAGGGACACCTTCCACTAGACCAGGTTGCTCAAAGCCTCATCCAGCCTGGCCTTAAACACTTACAGGGAGGGGGCATCCACAACTTCCTTGGGCAACCTGTTCCAGTGTCTGACCACCCTCACAGTGAAGAACTTCTTCCTAATATCTAATCTAAACCTCCCCTCTTTCAGCTTAAAGCCATTTCCCCTTGTTTCGTCATTAACTGCCCTTATGAAGAGTCCTTCCCCAGCTTTCTTGTAGGCTCTCTTCAGTTATTGGAAGGCTGCTATAAGATCTCCCCGGAGCCTTCTCTTTTCCATGCTGAACAGCCCCAAATCCTTCTATCTCTCTAATCCTTCCATTTCCTCCCCATGGCCTCTTTAACCTCTCTACATTGCCCAGGCCATGAATTATTTCTCATACTGTACTTAATGTTAGAGCCTTCTCACCCTTCTTCTGTCACCTTTTCCTCCATCCTTTCCATGGACATCAACTGCTTTTTCTGCCAGTTAGCCTAATTCAGTTAAATTCAACTAAGAATAATTAAACTTAGTGTAATAGTTCTATTTAACTTTGAAGTTTGCTACGTGTGTTTCAAACCTGAAGATGGATTCATATGCTCTAAATCTTATCTGTGTATTCCAATTACACCCTAATTTGTCTCATAAAGATATCCTGTCTAACTAGACACTTTGTCTTAGATTTGCATGTCAGCACAACATTACTCAGGCAGAGCACAGTCCTTATGAAAGGGATCTGTGCTACACGCTGGACAGGCACACTGAAGCCAGCCATTTAATCTTTACAGCTGGAGAAACCAGGGTACTATAAAAACCTAAACATTTTTAGTGTAAACAATACCTTCCAGCTGTAGTACATTTTTTATGCTCGGTATATACCATACAGGAAAAACCCTGCTGTGTTGTTTGATATGGCTGTGCTTTGGATGGCAGAATAGGTTGGTCAAGCTCTTTAGTAGAGGAATCTTGGATATAAGATTAGACTGATCAGAAAGGATATGGAGCCACTAAGCATATTTCCCATCCTGGGAAAAACAACTTAAAGTATCCAATTCAGCTTCAACAGCTTTTTCCTAAAACCTCATGCACTAAATATTAAGAGTGAAATTTTGCTGAATTAGATAGTGCAACCCAAGCTGTGCTCAGCCGGTTCGCAAGGAGCTGCAGCCAGAGTCTGCCATCAGGTATGCATCTGCAGCACACCCGCTTTCGGGGAAGTGAACTGTATGTGTGTGAGGGGGGGATCTGGCTCTCATCTCTTTTGGCCTTTTGCAATTATGCGTGAGCCAGGCCTTATAGATGTGGCTAAAGAAAGGGCGTCACATGTGAGTATCCCAGAAAAGAACTTACTTGGCTCTCTGTGCATGGATGTCAGTGCAGTGTGTGGGAGAGAAACAGATTTCACATCCGTGCTAGCACTTGCATCTTCAGCAACTGGCAAATCTCCCAGTGTTATGAGGGATTTGCATAAGTGTTCAAAATGTCAGCTTATTTTTTTTCCCCCACCGGTATGTATTTGAATGCACTGAATGCCTCCCTCCTTGCTCTTTCCTTGCACGAAGGATGCTGAGTCTGTCACCAGCCAGCCTTGGCTTTGCAGCCACCCTCATGTCACCATTGTGCTAATGAGCCCATGTGTGCTTTGCAGCCGGCTCTGGGAGAGCTGTGTGGCCCAACAATGCCTGGGATGGGGGGACAGGCACCTGAGACAGCAGGTTTGAAAGCTGCTTCACCGAAATCCCTCTCCTCTCAGATGCATTGATATGAGAGGGAAATGTAGAGAGAAGCAGGAAGACCCATCTAGTGTTAAATCTAGGAGCAATTTGGGGATTGACTGTTTAGGACATACACTGTACATACGCACATATATGTATACATATACTTGGATTTTTTAACTTTTCTGTTTGTAACATATGTTTTTAATTTTTTTAGAAAGTAAAAATACATATTTTTAGGAAGTCAGAAGGAATTTTAATTGCAATTTTGTTAATCTCTGCTTGGCTGGAAATGGAGAATGTATTAAAACATGGAAAACAGTATTCTGCATTAGCATTCCTAGAGAAGTAAAATACTCCAAATATCCTCACCACTCAAGAAAAACAATTATTTAAATATTTCACATTTGAAATTAATTTCTAAAACCAAATTGTTATGTGTAGCAAGGAAACTGCAATGCATATTTCTGATCTTTTTTCAAAACTGGTGGACTGGTGAATGTCAGCAACTTATATTTTGCTGATGCTCAGGGACTGGAGAAGAAAACTGGAGCCAGTTTCCCAGCTCCCACTCAGGCTGTTAGTGTTGACTTAAACATTCTTTCATTGGTGTGAACCTGCTGGAGAAATGGAAACAAAGAAAAAGTTCATTCTGCACCTACAAAAGAAGCTACTGCTTTCAAGGCTTGTTTAACACTTAGAAAAATTCTCTCCCCAGTTCCTTAGCCAACGACTTCCTTTAGAGCTTTGGCAGCAGATACATAGAGAATGTACATTTAATATCCATTTTAAAGTAATTTAGTTTTTACCAATACTGTGTTTTAAGTTTAGGTTTACCATAATTTGAAGTGGAAAACTAAATGTTTACAATAAATTGTATTTTAATAAAAGAACCATTTAAATGAATAATAAAAAAAAAAACAACCCACAAGATTGAAAAAAAAACAAACCAAACAAAAAAAATATTGCCCACTTGCTTTAAACTCAAGATTTTTTCTAAGGCAGCCACCAACTGTGACCTTTACTGTTGCTTTACAATGGTTGAAGAGGTGTCATGGTCATGCAGCTGTTCAGCCAAACTAATGCTATTACTGCTTTCAGCAGCAGATAAGTAACAGGTTTCAGTCAGAACTCTTAAATGTTGTGGAATGAGTGTTAAATGCAGGAATTCAGGTTGGGAGCCAAGTCAGTGGGCTGCCTGCAGAGTATCTCTGCGGAGTAGGTGGGTGGGAGATGAATCCACAAACCCCCGTGCCTGGCGAGGAGCAGCTGGGCGGTCGCTCCATGGGGATTACTTCAGCAAGAGGCCAACTCCTTCCTATCTTCATCATTTCCTGATTGCTGTGAGGGTGTGATTCAGGGAGTAGGTACAGTATGGGTGTCCTAGGCTGAGCCTATCCCTCTTCAGCTCTTCTGCTGCTATATATTGTTAGGAAATACTGTAGGTATCACTCAATAGCCACAAGTTTGATTGAACAGGGTGTTTAGCTATCCCAATCTCACAGTTTTCACTTATGTGGCATAAGCAGCATATGGCTGAAAGCATTCTAGATTATGTGCTTGCTGTGGATGGTAGGTCTCATTGTCCTCAGCTAACAGGTGGGGAAACTGAGGCACAGAAAGGCAAAGTGATTTCTTTAACTTACCGAGCCATAGCTCAACTTGAACTGTGTATGTGGGAAACAAATGAAATGTAAACTAACTTTTTTTTCTTTACCTTGCTTGGAAGTCTCTTTACTTCAGTAAGCTGCCCTTTTTTAGCCATAGAAATGTGTCTGCCATGAGTTTTATAATAAAAATGAAGAGTAGTAAAGCAATCACTTGGTGTCAGCTATGAAAGATACGAAATGCTTCCTGCTGTCTCAGGCAAGTAAGTTAGAAAGCCCTACATACTACGTCAGTCTCTCTCTATTCAGCTCCAGCTGAGTGCTTTAGACCAACTGTGGTGTGCAAATTTGCTCTGTAAGTACCCTTTGCAGGAAACAAATATGGCTTATTTGCACTGTGCTAGAGAAAAAGTTGCCATATATAGTTGCAGAGGGGTGGAAGCTGCACACAGACGCTATCAGGACATACATGTTAGCATTCCCTAACTAATTTGTGGGCAGGAGACTGGATCCAGCAAAGCTAATGTGTTACTGACCTCAGCTGGCTTTGGCTTAGTAGATCTGATGACATCAGTGAAATATCCTGATTTCTCTAACATTTTCTGTATCTTCCCCCTGCCTCCTTACAGGAATGGGAGATGAAAAATGGAACATAATTATAGCAAAACCACTCACGTTCCATCAAGGCCTTACCTATTACGGACCAAGACATGGGCTGCAAAAGACTCATCTGGAAGGTGGTATCAAGTGATATGACATGAGAGGTTTTGTAATTCTGTTAAGTTAATGGTAGCTTGGCGTTAATTTGCCTGTATTCCCTCTACTGTATTGCTGTGTAACTACGTGTGCCCCTTTTTATTAGCTGTAACTCTTTATTTTCAGCTTCATTGGTAAAGAAAATGAAAACTAAAAAAAAAACTAACCAACCATAGTATGTAAAAAGGAGCATAAAGTCACAGTTGAAAGTTTACTTCACTGTAACAGCATAGACCAGCAATGTTAGTTCTGTTGCATCAGGTGGCCTGAACACCACTGAAGACTGGTGTGTTAAGAATGATGTGAAATCATTACGATAAGAAGTACTTTTACAGGTTAAAACTGACTTTGCCACAGAGGTGGCTGAGCAAAGTCTTCCTCATCAGCAGTCACTTTGCTGTTAGCTGTTCACATTGCAAAAGAAAACTGAAGAAATGTATTCGCAGAAATAGCATGGCTTGCTTGGCTGGGAAGGCAGGAGCTCTTTGGTGCCACTGTCCTCTATGCTGGTGCAAGACTGTGGGATGACGTAACTCAGCTGTGAAACATTTTTTGGATACTTCTTAGACAGATGCTTTTGTCATTGGGAGATAAAAAGCTGCCATATTTAAAAAAAAAAAAAAAAGAAAAGCATTTTAGTACATTCTCTCTATTACTATTCTGAAGCACCAGTCGTTTTCAAAGGTCATTTGTTCCTGATTTTTTTGAAAGGCAAACAGGTATTTTTAGATACTACTTCTTTTCTATACTTTTTGAAAAAGAAAACATAATTGAAATTAATCCTCAACAGATCATGGTGACCCAGAATAGCTTATGCAGTCAGTCTTGTTTTGTTTTTTATAATATAGTATTGTTAAACTTGAGTTATAGAACACTGCTGTACTTAGTTTCCTTCACCTTTTCAGACCTCAACTATTATTTTTGAGGAAGATGGACTGAAAAGATGATAATTTCCAGGCTCTTTTTATAACTAATTTTTCAAAGAATTGGGGATTTTCTCAGACAGGAGTCCATTTCTGTTTGTTTACTAGGAAACAGTGTCTTGCATTTGTTTGTAAAGTTATAGAAATCTGTTCTTCTTTGTCTCCATCCATGTCACTCCTGAGAACTTACATGCAGCAAATTGCCAACTAAAGTCCTTCAAAATCTCAAGACTGGCTTTTAAAATGAGGAGAGAGAGAGGAGGGAAAAAAATGTATAATGAGTTGGGTTATTTTAATTTTTTCCCTGTGGTTTTTTTTTTTAAGCCTTTGGAGAGCCTTCAATCACATTCTCAAGGGTTTTTTGCTCTCCAACTGTGAAGACTAGAAAAACACTTTAAAAAAATTAAAATACTAATCATATTTTGAGATAATCACAGATGTTACAGGTGGATTCTTGAATCATTAGTTGAGACTTGCAATTAAAACCACAGAAGCTGGAAAGACAGCGGTTATCAAGGATCACATCCAGCCATAGCACAGCCTATAGTTTTTCTCTTACCTTTAGGAATAGGTGTGTGTAACTCCTGAAGGGAACACTGGAATTCCCAGCTGAGCTGGATGCCAGAGGACTTCTCACAGGAGCTGGTGGGATTTGAAGGTCTAGAGCTATCAGAAAGACCTGACAGCTGCCAGGACACAGGGCTGCATCCTGTTCCCAAATGCAGTTAGTGCCAGGGATCCCACTGACCTCAGCAGAGTAGCAATGGGGCCCAACATAAGAAAAGGCTCTTTTCTTCTTGGGACTATGCTTTGTACAAAGTGCCGCAGGAAAAAATGCAGCTACATTAGGGAAGCAAATATCAGTGTGGTTTTCACTGAAAACAGGAATTTTTAATATTCTTTTAGATCACCTGCTTAGTTACTAACTCTGTAAGTGGAGGGCACATTCTACGCTGTATGACTGTGGATGAAACAGTATCAAGTTCCCATAAACATTAGCAGAAACAAATTTGAAGCAAAAGTAAGTTCATTTAGGCTTTTTATTTCAAATTAAGTTATTTATTTGTATATTTCAATAAATATTTAATTTATATCTGTACATATTTATGATGCAAATTAGGCTACTAGTCAATGTTTGCAATGATGTAACAGTTGCCATTAAGAAGTGGTCCCACATCAAGTAATGCAGAGTAGCGAAAAGCCAAATCAGTTGTCTTGTTTACCCAATATTGGCATTGTATCTTCCACGCCCTACATCCCATGGAAAAAAAAATAATAATCCTTGGCAAGGACAGGTTTTGATCCATGCCTGAGACAGAAGCGTGCAAATTTCTGTCCAAGCAAACAGAAACCACATGGTGCTGGGGCCATGCACGCAAGCCAAGCCCCAGTGCCACAGCCTTCTGCTCTGCCATAGATGCCAGATGCCAGCACCTCTAGCACCTGCAGCAGGGGCTGCTGGCAAAATTAAGCATCTTTCACCCTTTCACCAGCAAAGGCTCCATATAGCCATCCCCGCCCCTTCGCCCCCAACCCAGCACATACTGTAATTGTGTGTCTCTAACGTGTAAGTACATTGGTACCATCGCACTTTGCATTAGTGACATGTCTGTTCTATACAATGGCCAAGGTTTTGAGAGGAGGAAAACAAAAAAAACCTCAGAAAATAACCTCTCCATAGACCACATTCGGTGCTGTGAAATATACTCCGTTTTGTCAAATAGTACTATTGCTGGACAATTTTTTTATAAAAAGCGACAGAGCCTGGATTTTCACCATGTTTAGGTTTCAAGATCACCAGGCAAATCAGCAATAGAGCAGCATGACTTCTGCTTTAAAGCAAAACTCTTGTATTTTAAACCATTGCATTTCTATGTCTTTTAAGAAAGTGTTACACTTGTGCTTCCTCAACAAACTCCTGTTACTGTACCAGGTGCTTTTTTAATTGTTTTTTTTTAAATGGGTGATGCTTTTTATTAAAAAAAAAAAAAAATCATAACTTTGGGGATCAAAAGTGCTTTTTTTTTAAAGAGATGATTGTGGCAATTTGATTTTCAAATGGAGAATACTTAATTTAGTATAAATTTTTGTTAAAGACACTTACAAACTAATTGGCCCAGGCTGTGTGTTGTAAGATAATGTTCTCTTACTAAGAATGTAATTATTTCCTTATTGTATTTTTTAAAAAACAAAATCATATTTAAAAATCTCTGTTAAAAAAAGCATGAAAGAAACATGAAAAAAGTTTTTGTTTTATTTTTGTTATTGGATATGTTGGCAGTGCCCATTATAATTGACTGTAAATATAGTCTTTCTACTGTATTTCTCAATGTATTTAAGGTTTTTTTGACACACATTCGTGGAAACTTCTGTTTAAAAAAAAAAAAAAAAAGTCCGAAATAGACCCAGCTACAAATGTGTGTCTTAGTAGCTTCAACTAACTTTATGCCTTTCTAGTTTATTCTTCAGAAAGTCTTGCAGAGTGTGGAAAAAAAGACTGGCACCTGGTAGGTGCGACAGATCCAAGATCATTTAATTATTAATAAAGTTACCTGTCAAAAAAGAAGTATTTGCATTGTTGTTTCTTGGTATTTGTCAGTATAATAAATAGGTGCCACCTTAGCAGGACACCTGCAATAGTTCTCCTCAACTAAGAACCAGTCTCCCATGCCAGTCGGTTGAAAAGTGCTTGGACAGGTTACAATTAGTATTTTTTTGGTTTCAGTTCTGTCACCACTGTGTGATGACCTTCTGCAACTGGAATGCAGTCTAGCTAAGGGATAGCCTGGCAACTCAATAGCGTGTTGAACGTACATGGAAAATGTAAGTTCAATATATTCAGAGCTTATAGCAGAAGTTACCACTTACCTAGTGTTACTGCATCAGTTTGCTTAGCTGTCAACCCCATTAACAAATAATGTAAAAATGTAAAACACTAAAAATTACCCCTAAGAAATTAAAGTGGATCAAAATCAAACTGCGCTAATTATCAGGATACTTAGCTAGGAATATAGCAATTCCTTATACATGACTGACAGATGAGATTGTGAACTGATGAGCTATAATTACTCCTTGTTGCTTTTCCTAGATTTAGCTCTTGCTCCCATTACACTAAAATTATTACCAAATGTCATGCTTAAATAGAAGATACATTTAATTTTACCAAACCCAGTGAAGCAGTATTATCAAGTAGTCTAATTGGTTTCCTTTCAGCCTCCTTGACCTCAGGAGAAAAAGGTGGTCAGCATATGTAAAATACATCATGGTGGTATAATTAATAATTCGCTTTCAAGTAGACACAGTGTTTTGCCTGCTTAATCAAGGCTTATAACCCTTCACTGCCTTTTGGCAATTAAAAGGCCTTCAAAAGCAAAGCAAATTCTTAGTATTTCTCTAGAGAAAGAAAGAATGTCTGTAGAAAAGATATATATAGGACAAGTTGTATAAAAAGATGTATTTAGAATAGTTGTACTATATAACATATACTATATAATATCTACTATTATTATAGTAAAATAGTATACATGCAAAAATTAGAAAATTAGTACCTTAAGGTACTCAGGCTCATGGCCTAAAAAAGCCTTATAGAGGATCTTAGTGGTTTTCTATAAGCTACATGTAGTGTTTGGTCTATCCAGTTGCATCAATATGAAAGGCATTCAATATGAAAGACCCCACCAATACCTAACTTACTCCACTGTGGTTTATTCTTGCAGGTGGGCACCCACACTGCAAGCATTGCAGTGCTTTAACGTTAAGTTCTTATTTTGTATGTTTTTTTAATGTGTGCATAAGTACACTCCTTAAGTACAGGGCTTTATAAAGAAGGGCTCCTTGCTAGAGAATGAACAATGCCAAATGTGACACAGTTTTTTTCAATGGAGAGGGGAAAAAATCAGGAAACAGAGACTCTTACAGATATACTGGTCCAACTGATGGTATAATAAAGTGAAAAATTAGGGAAGAGTGAGAAATCAGTGTGCTTGGGTAGGGACAACACAGGTTTTGTATGGTGTGTCATTGCTCATGAAATGCTGAGGTCTGTTAATGAGCATCCAGGAAAAGAACATACTCTGCTTAGATTTTGGACAAGGGCTGTCACTAAAGAGGTTTAAGTAGCTACTGGAGAAAAGGAAAAGACACAATAGGATAAACCACTGGTTGGTAAGCAAACAAAAACTAGAGCATACATTCTCTATTTCAGTGGCCTTGGGATCCCACAGGGCCGGGCGTCTGAGCTTTGTGCATAACAGAGTAATTGAAATAATTGGTAAAAAAAAATGAGATTAAAAATTTGCTGTTACTAATTTATTCAGGATAGTAAGCCAACTACAAGGATTTCCAGAAATACCTTTCACAACTTCACCAGTGATTAAAGTGGCAGAAGAAGTTCAATGTAGATAATTGTAGAAAGAATCATCTGGGGTACGATCTAGATGTACCACATCTAG